GCCAGGTTGGATGGGGCTTTGGGCAACCTGGGCTAGTGGAGGGTGTCCCTGCCCGTGGGAACTGGATGGGCTGTGAGGTCCCTTCCAACCCAAACCAGGCTGGGATTCTATGGAATTACAGGAACAACAACTAAAATACCAGACTGACAACAGTAATTGTACCCCTCAAGCTTGCACACGTAATAGAGACACGGAGGCAAAGTGACTTGTGCACGAAAACCAAATCTCAGCAGGAGCAGCAGATCGAAGCTTCCTCTCCAATGGCTCCACTGTTTTTGCATCTCAGCCCCAACAGGCAGACGATGTCAAAATTTTGTGACAACTGCTGATTTGACAGTATCTTTATTACACAATGTCTTATTACATACAGCACTGAAAAGACAACTCACAGCAAGGAAAGGCTACATCTACAGCTTGGGAGGTCCCGTCAGCCTCCAGCCCTCCTTGTTACCTATCTTCATCAGAGCAGCAGTAATTCCAAACCCCAAACATGCAGTGGTGCCAGTCATGTAACTGTGAGCTGGAAAAAACAAATCAAACCATAAAAGATCTGTTAGGGCACAAGTACTATACGGCAGATCTCGACAGACTCTGCAATTTTTCCGTGAGCTGCTCATAGTCCCTTGACTATCAGTAACGTCGTTTGCCAAGAAAAAACAGAAAAGTGACTCTTTTTTTTTTTTTTTTTACATTTTCTCATGCTTTTAGCTTGCAGTTTGAAGTATCAATTTCTATAATCCACCACCCCATCTCCTTACACAGGCAATCTTAAATTGTGTATTTCAGTGACGAAAACAACAATCACTGCTTCGAACTCTCATCCCATCTTTAACGCTGAGTTTGAAAATGCCTACAGACAACAGAGCCGTATAAATATCTGCAGGAGCTAACCTAGCCTGACAAGATGCCATAGCAGCAACAGCAGGAAGATACAGCTTGTCCCTCAGAGATCATGAAGAATTCACAAAGCAGATGACATTGTTTTCTGTGTAAAATAAATCACGTTTGTTGCCAAGAAAACATGGATTCCCACAACTACATCCTTCATACCCTGCAATTTCACGTTATTACTGGTAGTTATAATTGGCAGTACTGGGCCAGCTCTGTTTTCATTCTGTAAATCAGCTTGATGTTCTCTCTGGACTCCTTCTGTGGCAGTACGTATTTTAGCAGAGCTGCACAGTGGAGCGCCAACAAAAGTGACAGGAAACGGAATTCACATGCCGAGATGAATCTTTACCAAATACACCTGACATCAAGATTATTTTACATTTTTCCCTAATAGAAAGTTTTCTAAAACCAGAGAGGGCTTATTTCATTACAGGCATTATCCACATTTACCTCTTGCACCTAAGACAGCTCCTGTTGCGCAGCCTCCTATGAAATAGTTCAAGGGATCGTCCGGTTCCTCTCGGATTTGGGCACTGAGGCAGGTAGTTACGCCAAACACAGCTCCCAGTGTAGCTGTAAACAAGAGGTATAAAACCAAAACAAAACCCCTCAAGGACCTGACAATAACGTACATACAAAGTACAACTCTGAGACACAGCGTGCCGTACAACAGTTCCTCTGGGAGAAGAGAGGAAAACGAAGACGCATCTGCTTTTGGTTACCCCGGGGCATCGTATCCTACCATCGTATGGTGAGACTCGGCCTTCTGCAAGGGCCGTTCGGTTCCTTTTGGAACCTCCCCTGGCCCAGCCACCTCTGTGCCATGCAGGTCCTGCGCAAGCAGGTCCAGCTCGGCCGTTCGCTGGCTCCCCGGGAACCCTGCGCCGTGCCAGCACACAAGGCAGGTGCGTTCCAATGGCTGCGGACAAAAGCCACCGCACCCAGCCCGGTTATTAGCTCAGACTTAATAAGACCCCCTCCAGATGAGGCAATGGGGCAGCCCCCAAACAGCCAGGGGTAAGAGAAGGGAGAAGCAGGTTTCTCTGCAGAACATTCTCCCAGGGTGCAGGGGATAGCAGAGCTCTGTTTGGGCTCTGGCTGAAGCTCAGCTCACGACTCCCTGTGAACCCAGTCGCAGGGATTCAGGCGGAGAAACCGGGATGGCTCTGCTCTCATTAAGGTCGGTTTGTCCCGGCACTTCGCTCCTCGGCCTGCCCAGGGCTTGCAAGGACTTTTGGACAGTAGAAAAATGGACTGTGTTTGTAATTATTTTGTAAACTGATCTGGATTTTGTAAACTGATTTCATACATAGAATTAAGAAATTGCAAAGTAGCATTGTCTTGTCCACTGAATTACATACCTCATCCCATCAGACCCTGTATCTATGTAACTGAAAAATTTGCAAATAGCTGTGTCAAGCTATTTGACACAGGTTTTCTTTGTTTGTGATACAAGTTCTTGATCATGAAATGTGAAACTGGCTACCAGGCACCATCTGCAGATTTCAATTCATTTTTCTTGGGAACAACAAAAATGTCCAGGATAAAAATTTTCCATCTCTATGGTAAACTAGTAAACCACAAGCTCATGTCAGAAACCTCTGCTGTTTTTCAGCAGAAAATGCAATTATGCTGATCCTAAAGTCAACTGAAAAGACCACTGAAGAAACAAAACTCACAGACCAAGGGCTGTATTTCAGCTTCCCTGCTCGGACCGAGGAGTCTGTAGGTAAAACACACAGACGGCTGCAGACCACAAGTTCTGGCCCCTTACCAGCGGGCAGGATAAGCCCTTCCTCAGGTGTGAGAACTGGTGAGAAGATCCAATACACTGGTTTAGGATTACCGGATTTACTGAAATCATAATTGGTTACATTATCTGGTCCATTATAATGACCTTTTATGGCTCGACTCCTTACAGGAGATTCCAGGTCCTTTGTTAGAGCTGATCAACTTAAAAACGCAGATCTGGACCCTCCAGTTCAGAGCACGAGTGCACAGGGAGAAACAAAGGTGACATCAGCCATTAAGGGAGACTGAAAAACAAGAAGAGTTTGGCAAGAAGAAAACTGTGCACTTGGCCACGGGGCTGGGGGAGCTTCAGCCTTGCAGATCTGCACCTTGCACCTGGACAGCCGCCTCCGTTCCCTGCTTGTCCCTCCAGTGTCCACTTTCTCTTCCAAAGCACAAACAATTCAAGGCAACTGCATAGTTTCTTCTTAGCTATACAGCACGATGAGAAAACCTCCACATTTATTTTCCTTTTGCCATCAAAAACATTGCGTTAGCTCTTCAACAAGCATGACTTATTGTGTGTAATGCCTAAATATATGAAGTAAAAAAATAAGTTTGGTCCCAGTATACTTTTGTCCACAAACTAACTGTGCTGCAAACACTGCAAATACACACCTTTTACTTCAGATCGCAAAACACGTGCTACCAAAACTTCAAATACAGAACATGTCTTTAAATAAAGAACGCGGGAGGCAGAGACTGCCTCAGATGCATCTTCAGCCTGAGCTGACACGGCTCTTCTGTCTCAAGCGTTAATCCAGGAGTTACTTTTGCCATCACCCATATGACTACTGCTATTACATTATCCGGCAGAAAATGTTATCCGCGTATGAATAACTTCTATTCCAGTACGATCTGACATACAAATAAGCGGTGTGCTGGAGGAAATACAGCAAAAGGAAACACCAGCTGTAAAGCTTTGCACTTACTTCTTTCAAGTCACTTTAGCACTATGGCTCCTGGCTTCCATCCTCACAATAACTACCTGCCTCCGAGGGCGCCGAGGAGCAAAGCCAGCCCATCCCCAGCACAAAGGTGAAGGCGGAGGCCGAACCAGGCGGCCTCA